ACTGATTTTACAAAATACTAGTCTACTAAAACACAGCCAAGACTGGTTACTTTGTAAAGGCCAGTTTTAAATTATTTGATACAGTGTCACTAGTGCACATGCACCACATCATTGTAACATCTGTATTGTTAGCAAGGCATGGCTGAAAGGTCAATATAATAAATGTATAATGTTATGAGATTTAAGCTATTTAGACTAAACATTTATGTTTTTGTGTTACAATCTGTGGTCATTCTAGAACAAAAAAAGCATAATTTAAAATTTTTTTTTTTTGGTAGTTATGAGGCCAGAATTTTGTTGGAATTTTCACAGGACAGATGCGAAATAATCTATCTGACCTGTGCCCTGGTTGTAAAAGAAAACTTTATGGTTAATAATAAGAACATTAAATAGTGTTCTACCCGTTGTGTATGTGTCTTATTCTTTTCTTTCCTGTTTGCAAAACAGATTGTATTGGTGAAGTATGTTTGGTGAGGGCGCTTGTCAGTTAATTTTGTGCAGCTGTCAATTTATTTAAAATGCAAGCATATTATTTATATAGGTATAATAAACTCAAAATTCTATTAACCCTTTCACTGTGCAATAAATTTTCAGGCTGATTCCCAAAAAGTGTCAATTATCTACCAAAAAAATAAAAATATGAATTTGACTCTTTGTATTAATACAGCTTTCAAGGAATATTACTGTCAGATATAGAAAATACAGCTTCTTTCAATATTGAAAAAGTAAAATAGCTTCTTTATATCTTGGATATTGTTATCTAAATAATTTATTTAATATTTTGTAATGATTTTGGCCTCTTATTGACTTTGTTTGTTTGTTTTGAATAAAACGCAAAGCTACTCTAGGGCTATCTGTACTAGCCTTCCCTAATTTAGCAGTGAAAGACTAGAGGGAAGGCAGCTAGTCATCACCACCCACTGCCAACTCTTGGGATACTCTTTTACCAACGAATAGTTGGATTGACCATCACATTATAATGCCCTCACGGCTGAAGCGGTGAGCATGTTTGGTGTGACTGGAATTTAAACCCATGGCCCTCAGATTGCAAGTCAAGCATCCTATCCACCTGACCATGCTATTGACTTAGTTTTACCTATATTTATGCCATTTACTGGAGAACACTTTCTTCTAATTTTCCTCAATTTTTTGTTTAAATAATTATTTTTTATTATCCATGGCAACCAAACAAAGCTTCCCTCTACTGAGACTATGGAGGAATATCCCCCTGTACATGAAAAAAATCACCAAACCTGCATGTGCACTGTCATCTATGTTCTATGCCATGAAACCTAGAGGTTTATATGCCTCATTACAAAATTGCCAACTCTGCAGGAACACATATAGAATCTATGGGGTAAATCCGAATATAGCAGACGGCGGATATAAATGTTTATTCGGATATATCCGACCTATGCAGCAAAAGGGTTAAAGTATGTTCAAGGTGATTGCTATTGATTATTTATTTATTTAACCAGTGTCTTCATGTTGATCAAAGTTGAAATGGGCAACATCTGCCTAGTGCAGTTCCTGTTTATTTTAACTTTGTTTGTTCAAGTTTATTGCTCTTTTGCTTATCAGCAACATTAATGAGGGAATACCAAAGATTGGTTTTCTGGATTACTATTTGAAAATTAGGAGACAACTACGTAATACTTGATCATGCAAGATCTGTATAATCATGTTTTTGGTGATATAAGATGTTTATTTCCTGCTTGATTTAGACCATTTTGAGATTAAATTGTCTTAGATTTAGTGAAAATGAAAAATTTAATATTTCATTGCCCATTCTCAATCTTTCAGTAACAATTTTGAATAGACATATGATATTATATATACTTATCAAAATTCTGCCTTCTTTAATGTTTAGTCAAACTACTGCATTAACAATGACAGTGTTTTGAGCAAACTTGTAACATTTAATTACTAAGATTTATCAGTATGTAATTGTATTGCAAAACAACACAATTTTTTTTAAATGTACATCAAGAAACTATATACAAAATTATAATGTGCTATTGCAAAACCGTATATCTGTTTGTCTTTTAATACACTTTGTTTTTTCAGCTCCAAACTAGAAAATGCCCATAAAGAGTACAAAAAAGCTATTGGTGCTGACATTGTTAGGTTTAATCCAGAGAAAAATGTTTTAGTGATAATTGTAAGTAGAACTTTAATTTTGTAAGTTTTTATTTTACTGTGACATATTTTATCTAACTTTTGAAACTTTATCTATTGAAAGTTATCTTTCTGACTTTATCTTTTGAAAGATAAAGGGTTGAAAAGTATATTGTCACAAATAAGATAGATGTTATGAATAAATTGATATATAGTTTTGACTACATTGCATCCTGATTATTTACAATTGTTGAAAATTAAGTCTAATGTTAGTATGTATAAAAGATGCTAGTTTAAGTATGTTTTTTGTTTCTTGATAATATATATTTTTTATCTGTACTTATTTTATAATATGTAGTAGGTTTGCACTGTGTTACTTTAATATGTGCTTGGTGTTTTCATAAAAGAGCACAATTCCAGAAGGAGTTTCAGATTTAAGATCTCAAGTACTAATCAGTATCAAGTGCATTTTTATTCATGACATTTGATAAATGTGGGTTGTGAACATTACAGTTGTTGTATTAATAGGGAAGATCAGAAGCCATGAGGAAAAGAGCATTGTTATTGATAGAAATGCATTTTCGAAATTTACGACAGAAAGTACTGTTAGTCCATAGAACTGAAGAAGCTGCTCGACAGTTGGAGGTAAGAAAGAGCAATGTTAAATTACTGTCTCTTGTACATCTTTAGGTACTTTTAAAGTAAGAATATGTTATGTCAAATGATGAAGTGTTTTATGTAACTGTGAATCTGGAATTGCATTATATTAAATATGTTGTTAACTGTATTCTGATTTTATTGACCTCATTAATCACCTATTTTGATAGAACAGAGAAAGATATTCTTTGACTGTCATTCAGAATTTTAAATTGAGGTAACAACTGAAACTTAACATTAGGAGTGTCCAAATGATATATCAGAAATTTTAAGCACTCATTTGATTAGAATATCAAGTGATATTACAATTATAATACTGTTAACTAATGCCAAGTCTTGCATACCATAATTTGGTTACATATTTTTATTTAGTTTTTCATATTTCTTTATTATCTGCATAAATTTTTTCAGTGAAGTAGATTTTATTGTAGTTTAATGTTTGTGGCTTAATTGTGGTTGTAAGTTATTCATTGCTTTTTATAAGTATTATAAGAGTAGTAGCAGCAGTAATACCGTCAGTACATTATAAGATTAACTCTAGTTCTTAGTATACTCAAGGGCAAAGGAAGTAAGAGATAAGGGCTTGTTATGCTAAAATTTATGCATTGCAGAGTATTTTTTGAGAAATAATGACAAGAAATTAAATATAATGCAAGTTTAGTAAATGCTTTAACATCAAGAAAAAAAAAATTTTCGAGCAGAAAAATAAAATATTGAATTCCTTTTGCATTACAGTACATATGGCCAAGTGTTTAGGGTGCTCGACTCACAATCTGCTTGTCGCAGGTTCAAATCCTCATCCCACCAAACATGCTTGTCTTCTCTGCCTTGGGGGCATTATAATGTGATGGACAATCCCACTATTTATTGATAAAAGAGTAGCCCATTAGTTGCGGTGGGTGGTGATGACTAGCTGCCTTCCCTCTAGTCTTTCACTACTAAATTAGGGATGGTTAGTGTAGATAGCCCTCATGTAGCTTTGTGCATAATTCAAACCAAACAAACAAAGCATTATAGTACATCATAGTAGGGATATTCTGTAAAATGTAAGGAGGCTGGTATTTTTATTTGGAGATCATTGGATGAAACTTAATGCTACTATTTGGAAGATACATAAAAGATTGGACTACTTTTGTATTTAAAAAAATATTTTAATGGTACATCTCCTTATAAGAGTTCTATAGAAATGGTAATTAAGTTCATATCTTTTTAAGTCTTTGAATAAGTCTGAAACATAAAATACAAAGCTATTTTTATTTTATAATTGTTGAAGAGTGCACAGTATTAGAAGAATATAAGACTTTTTCCAGTGGCAGTTCAGTTTGAAGCATATTAGTTTCAAGTTTTGGAGAAGTTTTGCTCTGATATCCTAATTTAGCTGTATAGAATAGAAACCTTTTGATTTATGAATAAACGTAGAGTGAAAGTTAACTTTTTAATAAATCTTAAAATGAAAGAAGTTGATTTCTTTTCATAACCTTGATTATATTTCAGAACACAAAACTGCATTCAAACTCAGGGTATGTGGAAGAATTCAGTGTAAGAGATGACTTAATGGGCTTAGCTATTGGAGCCCATGGGGCCAACATTCAGAATGCACGTAAATTGGATGGCATTACTGGAATTGATTTAGAAGAATCTACTTGTACCTTTAAAATATTTGGAGAGGTAATATTTATGGTAAAATAGTTTATTTACACTTAAATGTAGTGCATTGCAATATGAGAGTTTATAGTTATGATTGAAGAGTCTTTCGAGAAAACTTTTCATATTACAATGGGGAAAAAAAAATTTAAATTTCTGAAAGCTAATTACTATTTTAACAAATTAAAAAACATATTTCAGTCTAAGCCTTATTAGCTTAGTGTAAAAATAAATATTGAAATGAAATTACTTAGTGTAAAATTAAATTTATCATATGTGACTGAAAAAAAAAAAACTAACACTGAGGTAATTACAAACATAAAAGTAAGTTCAGTAAAAGGCTTGTAAAAGAAATGTGTGTTTCATTGTCTTATAGGTGGAAGTGTTATCCTATTAGTATCATAATAATTTTTACTATATCAGAATGCATACATCAGGAGATTTTCTTTAAAAAATAGGTATTTTGCTTGTTTGGTTTTGAAAGAAACTAATTCCCATAAACAAAATTGACGTGAAGATAGTGGCTTTACAACTTATTTTATATTTTGAAAAAGCCTACCATTATGTATGATAGATAACAACCATTGGTTTAGTAGTATGCTAACATTTTCAAAATGACGGGTAGTAAAGCTACCTAGTATATAGTTTGTAGTTTTTACTGTATCAGAGTAATTTTTATGACTCTTGGAAAAAATGACAAATGTGTTTCCAAACCAAATTTAACATTTTTTTGCAGTAGTAGTAATTCTCTTTCATTCTTTAGGTTTTCGTTTTACATTGAGTCAAAAAGAGCTTTTATTATATTATAACTACTCATTTTAAAGTTCAAGATAAACAAATGGTTTATCACAATTGAGCTCAATTCAGGTATAAAAACTAATTATTCAAAATGATTTGTTTTAAAAAGAAAACTAACAAAATGAAGAAATGTAATTTCTCAAAGGTTGTTGATGATTCATTTAACTCTTGGCCATTCAGCTTCTAGTTTTCTTAAAAGGTAATGTCGCTTTCGTCATATGTTGTTCCAAAAGTTTGTGTTTGATAATTGACACTAACTTTGCTTAAAAAGTATATAGTTTCAGAAAAACGAAATATTTAATTTTTATTTTTTTAACTATTTCTATTAAAAAAATTCGTTTTTTAATGTAGTTAGTTCCATTCAAACTCTGAAGAGTTCACCTACAAGGTGATTTTTATACGAAGCATAAAAATTATTTTTTTACCTTACTGTTTTCACATTTCATTTGCATAATCTCTATAACCTCATAAATGAATATCCAAAGTTTTTTAAGGTAAATCTTTATATTTTATTTTCCATTTTCTCTACTCTGTCAGTAACTATCTATTATCATTAACATGCAGTGTGATGAAATGTTTAAAATTATTAACAAATAGAAATATGTACATAACTTTCAACTCTTAGTATAAATTCACTATAATAGTTTTCTTTTTCTCGTATGTGTTTCACATTTATTTTTTCACTTGTAATATATTTTTAATTTCCTTTCAAATTCTTTATATTTTATAACTTATGCCGAAAGGTTTCATAATGGCCCATTTATTATTTACTCTTTGTACAAGTTGCATAATCTTGGGCAATAATGTTTGCACATGTACTGTGTTTAGATGTCTTGACGAGATACCAGAGGAATAAGTAAACTTATAAAAATCATTATACATTTCAAATATGAATTTTAAAACACAAATAATACATAATTAACTAAAATATAAAAGTAAAACCTAAATGCAATTTAACTGTTTATTGCCCTAATACATATAAGGTGAGAAACAATTGGCAAGCACTACAGACACCAGTCTCAATCATGTATTTGATTCATTTCACGCTGTTGGAAGAACAAATGTATAAGCAAAGGTTTCTTGTTACAGTATCATTCTTGAAAACAAAATTCTGTTCTTTAATTGGTTATAGGTATGCCAATCAACTTAAACTGTTGCTGAGCAACCAGGCTTTGATTTTGCAAGTGGGTGTGGCTTATCTTAAACTAAGGGAAAATTTTCAATGGTTTCCTGCAGGGAAAAATTCTTGGAAGGTCTCCAGACAGTAATAAAATACATGTGTTTGATGGACTTTGACTGTCTGAAATAACAGTCTATATTAGCTACTCAGTTTCTTGTATAAGAGCTCTTAAAAGTTGAGAATTGTAACCACAAGTATATCATGTGACAACAAAAGCTACAGTTTTTTAATTATTGTTTTAGATGTGTCTTTGTGAAATATAGGAATAAAACTTTGGATGATAAAGTACTTGATAATAATAACTTCCTTAAAATACATTGGTAGTAAAATGGATTAATTAAATTTAAATGTTGCACAGTACTATATGCAGAAAGGAATTTAAAAATGGCTCCAAAAGCTATAGGATTAACACTATGAAAAACGATTATTTGGTAAAACAAATCGTATGCAGAGCTAGGGAAACAAATATTGTCACAAGAGAGTGGATATCATTTCAAGCCACCTTAAGTTTGATTCTTATAGCTAAGCTGCACTTATGTTATAAGCATATTTATATACATGTAACCATAAATGGTAATTAATTACTTGTATCTCATTCCCACAATTTAAAACAAAGTTGATAGTGTACAGTTGCTCCTATTGCATCCAACAATGTTCCAATTTTTGCATAACATAACATTTCATTATTAAAAGAAACAAGTTCAGACATTGTTATCAGCGATGGTTCACATAAAACTGTTCATATAGAAACTTTGCAAAATGGTTTCTTAACAAAACATGTTTTCTCTCACAAAGTGCCCATGTTCATTTTACACACTAATGATTCTCAAATGGGACTCTCCAGACAGAATTGGATGAATCCTTGATAACATTATAATTGTTATGTAATTTAAGGTATGAAGTTTAATGTTTTAACAGGGTCGTTATTGAGTTTATTCCTTCATCTACAAAAGTTACTATAGGGGTCCACAAGGACTTCTTTTGTGTAGAAAAGTTTTGTAGAGGTGAAAGTGGTTGAGGAGTACTGATATACATGGTGTAGTAAAAACAATCAGTTTGTGTGTGTGTGTGTGTGTATTAATAAATTTGTAGCAAGTTTTTTCTGGTGCAGCAGAGAACAATACACAAAAATCTGCTTATCTTAGTCTAATGCTCAAGTCAAGATCTAAGCTGAGAAGTTAAAACTGATATCTAGATATTGGAAATGAGCATTTTTTAACATATATATATATAATTTGAAGTATGCTATTTTTGTTCAATATCTTAGACAGAAGAAGCAGTGAAAAAAGCCAGAATTATGTTGGAGTATTCAGAAGAATCAATCTTAGTGCCCAGAGTTTTAGTTGGTAAGTCTGTATAGTGAATTCTGCTGCATTTTGTTTTGTTTTTGTGTACTTATCAGTTGTGTGTGTGTGTGACAATTCAACAAAATTTGGTTGTATCTGCACATTAGAAGAAAAAAGGAAATTACTGAACCTTAGTCAGGCTTTTGCTTAAAAGAAATAGTTTATAAATTTTTCAAAAGAAATATTGCTTATTTTGAGATTTCCTTAGACAAAGAAATACATTTGTCATGAAAACTAGAAGTGGAATATCCAGAATCAAACCCATAAATTTAAAATAACCAACTGTATTTTTATAATAACATAACCACTGTGTAGTAGTGTATGTTCAAGAATACTTTGACAAAAAAGTTAAACGTGCATGTTGAGCATTAGGTAGAGAAGAATTGTGAGCCATTTATTGGTTAGAGTTGAAATGTAAAAATAAGGTTATTTCTGTTGCTCTGCTAATCTTTTCCCTTCATAATCCATCCATCACTTCACAAGTGATTATTGAAAAATTCTGCATTGAAATTAGGTTTAACATGATTTACACTTTATTGTAGTTCAGTACTTAAATATAATTTTACACTTATCTAAGGCTTGTAAATAAAACTCTTTACTGGCTTCCATCTCTACATAAGAAGAGATAATGGTTCTTATTTTCTATCTTAACATAGAACTCCTGTTTCCCGTATGATACAAATAAAATTTGACATAGGTTAACATTTGACACAGTTTTTCTCACTGATATTACATTAGTGATATCACTTGTCTTGATAGAGCAGATAAAGGTATTCAGTGACTGTATTCAGTTTTTTAAGATGTAGTAACAATATATATATATAGAACATAAAAATAACAGCTGATACACTATAGTGTCTCAATTAAATAATGCTAATGTGTCACAAATTTATATTCCCATTTGTCTACCTCACTATACTTCTTTCTACTTAATGCACGACCAGTAAAAAATATGGTGAACCTAACACATTGTAAAAGGTCTGATAGGAGCTGGCTCATCTTGCTCATTGTTTTCAGAATTGATAACCCAGAATGTTCCTAACCATCTTTGTGCAGTAGATTGGAGGCTTAAACAGCTGAAAGGCACTAGTTAACAGCAACTGCAGTGGCATATTTTCTATAAAGAAATTTTGGACCATGTATATTGATGTTTTCCCAGTATTTCTGTTAGAGATATGTACATGACGGGTAATCCATATTCATGCAGCATTTTTCCTATGCTGTTCCAATGTATATTTTTGCCTTAATAAAGTAAGAAGGGCATATTACTCACCCCTTGAATATGGCATTTCACGCACTAATTTTAGAAGACTCCCTCTCAACCTTGAAGATGATATAGGGATTCTCAGTCACCCAAATTATGCAGTCATGTTTAATGTATGCATCCTTTGGTATGGAAGGCTGCTTCTCAGAGATGTTGTTGTTTTTTAGGGTAGGGTCAATATGGACTCTTTGAGGCATGCCTGCATGTGTCTGATCTTGTTAAAAGTTGTTAGCGCATGAGCAGGCATTAAGAATTAGTGCTGAGATCTTCATTAAGAATCATTCAAACAGTTGTTTTTGGAATGTTTGTTTGATTGACTTGCTAAGGCTTCTTGAATCATAGCCATTTGGCCAGCATTGCATTTGTTATAACCACCACTGTGTTTCACACATTAATTGTCCTTTATATCACAGAATGTTCAATAAATTCCAGGAACTGGCATAAAATAAGTACCCCTTATGGGTCAGTATCTTAATAAAAAATATTAGGACACATGTCTGTAGTACCTGCATACTTGTGCCAAGTTTGGTCCAAATATCCATTGATTGTATGTGTGGTGGGGTATGAAGGAATGAAGAAAGTTTCAATCAAGATGCCCTCTGGGATATTGAGAGAGGTCAACAAAACAAAATCTGATGACAAATTTGGGTTCTGAAAACTTACTTCTGTACCCCATCATGCATGAGTGACCTGGGCTTGTTTTAATTCTCTTTGGTATTCTCTTGGCAGGAGGACTATGACATATATAAATAGGGATACCTCCTGAGTTTGCATGTCCAATTTAGTCCTGCTAGCTTCAAAACTGTAGGAGTAGTCTGTGGTCAAACAAACACACAGTGTGGACTAACATAAGATAGTCATCCAGCTAAGGGAAGTCAGTTTGAAAGTAATTACTGTTAAACATGGTACTATGGGTCATCATATTTGTAGCTCATCAATATAGAAACATGACAACGCACTCTTGAAGTTCTTGTAGTTAGGTGTTCAGTGGCACACCAGAGAACTGGACTTTCAAAATAATTTGTATATGTAGTTTGTTTATGGGTAATAGTCTTTGATTCATGGATAGCATGAACTTGATGTATTAACAGCTGTGATATTCCTTGTGAGTTTAAATTCCAGTATCAAGTAAGCCTCTACCACCTTCCAATACTTGGAAACATTTGCTTAAGAACTTTCCAGTCTTTGTTCTGCTACAGACTTTACCTTTTCTCATCTATGGCTTGTAAATTATCGTACATTTTCTCCAGTTAAATTATTAAGAATGTGGATTCCACTGAGACTTGACATTTTTGTACTTTAATGCTGAAGTGTAGCAAAAACAGACTTCCAAGTGAAACCTTTTAAACCTATAAAAACCTTTTAAATATAATAATTTTGCAACATTTTTGGATTTGTGTAGAGGGGAAATAATTCAGACTTCATTACTAGAATTATCAGAACTTGCATGTTCAATTCTCAGTCATCACAAAGTAATGAATTTCTTCATGGAAAGTTTACAGAATGGTATAGAAATTTACATAAGGTAGCCATTGTTCATTTGTGATAGAAAAAATTTAAAAAAATTAAAAATTATTAACTTAGTTAATCCTACTCTGTAGTCTAATGTAGTCCAAATCATCATATTAATGATTCAGCTACATATTTGAAAGATAGATGGACAATAAAAAAGCTTCAGTAAAGCTTAAAAAATATATAAAAAAATAGTTCAGTCTAAATTAGTACACATTTGTTATATATATATATATATATAT